CATGGAACTAGGGTTCTTCATACCCAAGTGAGAGAAGGGTTCTACTCCATAGAGAGAGAGAGAGAGAGAGGAAAACTGAAGACAAAGCAGTCATACTCATAACAATGGGAAGAATCTGCTCTAGGATGATGATTTCCACTCCTATGGCGATCTCCAAGCTCGATTTGATGAAACCCAACTCCAAGATTGCTTCTAGGATGTGTTCTTCGTACTTTCTCTCTCTAGGGCTCTGTTTTTGCTCTGAAAATCCGATTCCCTCACTTGTGGCCCGAAATTGGGTAAAAACCAGAAAATCCCGATCACACGGGCAGGCCACACGGCCATGTGGCATACCCAGTTGCCCGTGTGAGACACAAAATGCGGCGTTTCCAATAATTGCACTTCAGGCTACCTACACGGCCGTGTGGCTCACCCAGTCTGCCCGTGTGAAGCCTCGCATAATCCGACACGGCCACATTGCTCCTTCACACGGCCGTGTGGGTTGTATTTGTGCCCGTGTGAAGGCTCGCACAATCCCACACGGCCACATTGGTCAGTTGCACGGCCGTGTGGATTTTGTATGTGCCCGTGTGGCTTGCTCAGCGACTCGCCTCACGTGCGATCTTCGTCCAATCGACCCCGAACTTGCTCCCAAACCTTCATTCACGTATTATGACCTGAAATATCATAAACAAGCACAACCTAGCGTGAAATCGGCCTAAAACACGAGAATCAACACCTCAAACGGCTCCAAAATAGGGGCAAAAACATGTGCAATTAACGGTTTATCAAACTCCTCCACACTTAACCGTTTGCTTGTCCCCAAGCAAACCAAGTCAGACACAAGGTAAGCTAACATATTTCAACCATACCAACATTGGGGACAAATCATATAGGCACAGAAACACGTGAATCATACTGGCTTTCAAACATCAAAACATGAACAACCTCAATAGCAACCTAGACAACCACCACAGAAGACATTCGAGTGCAGCAAAATCGAGTAAAGGAGGAGTCTCATGTTACACCGATCTTTCTAAGTGTCAAAATGACTATTTTACCCTTGGATAAATTTATCAAGTTTCACCGTAATATCGAGGAGGGTTAAAAATGTGAACCACTGGTTCGAACGGTGTTGAATTTTGATGTAAAACGACGAAGTTATGGACATAGTTTGGGTTTTGAGGGTGAACCTTGAGCCAGCCAAGGAGCTGGGCTGAGTTATATGGGCGGCCCATTATGGACAGTTAGTAATGTGGGCTTAAGTTAGAGTTTGGAAGAAGGAAGAAGAGAGGGATGGGCCAATTCTGTTTCACAAGAGGGCTTTAGTGAGGCCCGCTGTGGAGGTAGGTGTAAGTAAGGGAAAATAGAGAAGGATGAAGTGGGCTGAAGCTCGTTTAGGGTTATGAAAAAAAAAAGTTAAAGGGGAACAATTGGGCTGAAGCCCAACGTGGAAGTGGGGGAACAAGGGGTGCTATACTGCAGGATCTCCAAAACCAGATTGGTGGCATTGCTCGCAAGAATAACACTAGAGCACCGGGGACTTTGCCTGCCACCACCATTCCAAATCCTCGCGAGCCTCACCAGCAGCTGGATGCCATCACTACCAGGAGTGGCAAGACCACATTTGCTGCTCCTGCCCAGGCCAGGCAAGAAGAGCCACTGCCTACTTCAACACTTCCAGCTGACGATGCAGAAGTGGGGATGGAGAATGAAGCACCTGCTCCCAAGCCACAGCAGTGGTTAAGGAGCATGTACCCCAGCTTCCCTTCCCTACTCGCCTACACAAAGTCAAGCTGAATAACTGAGTTTGCCAAGTTCATGGTAATGTTGAAGCAGGTCAACATCAGCATGCCATTCGTGGAGGCACTGTAGAAGATGCCCAAGTACGCTAAATTTATGAAGGATCTCCTCACCAACAAGAAGAAACTTGGGGATCTTTCGATAGTGATGCTGAGCGAGGAGTGTTCTGCTAAACTGCAGAACAAGCTGCCCGAGAAGCGCTAAAACCTAGGGAGTTTTACTATCCCTCTTTTTATTGGCACCATGCATGTAGGAAAGTCCTTGGAGGACTAAGGCGCTAGCATTAACGTCATGCCTTACAAATTGTTTAAAAAGCTAGACCTAGGTGAACCTTGAGCTACTAGGATGAGCATTTAGTTAGCTGGCCGTTCTATCATGCATCCTAGGGGTATCATAGAGGATTTGCTTGTTAATGTAGGCACATTCACCTATCCTGTTGATTTTGTTATTCTGGAGATAAATGATGATGTGGATGTGCCTTTTATTTTGGGTAGACCGTTTCTCGCCACCGCCAAGGCGCTTATTGATGTGCATAGTGGTAAATTGATCTTGCGTGCTGAGGATGAACATGCTACTTTTTCTGTGTCCGAGAATGGGAAACACTCCCATTTGCATGATGACTTAGATTAGTGTGATGTGCTTGCTGATTTTGAGACCGCACTCGCTATAACGAGTGCGGGTACTGACGATGCTCTTGAGCATTGTATTTTGCTAGGTGAGCAGGCATCGCAGGAGCCGCAGTTGGCCGCGCTGGAGAGTGGCGCATTCCTGGAGGGCGATAGGCTATTCAAAGCGATCTCATCCTCACCTCGCATCACTACCTCATTGGAGGAGCCACCAGAGCTGGAGCTAAAGCCCCTCCCCCCTCACTTGGAGTATGAATTTCTCCGGGAGGGGAATAAGCTCCCAGTCATTATTAGCTCGACCCTCACACCCGAGCAGAAGCTCAGACTGGTGGCCTTGCTGAAGCTGTACGAGCGAGCTCTTGTGTGGAAGATCACTGATATTCAGGGGATCAACCCCTCCTTCTGCTCCCACCGGATACTGCTAGAGGATGAGATGCGGCCAGTGAGACAGTCGTAGAGGAGATTGACACCGAACCTGGAGGCTGTGGTTCGGGCAAAGATCGTGAAGCTGATGGACGTGGGGATCATATTCTCCATTTCTGACAGCGAGTGGGTCAGTCCCACCCAGGTGGTACCTAAAAAGGGTGGGATGACCGTGGTGCCTAACGAGAAGAATGAGCTCATCTCGATGCGCACGTTGACTGGGTACCATGTCTGCATTAATTACCGGCGTCTCAATGATGCCACTCGGAAGGACCACTTCCCGCTGCCATTTATTGATCAGATGCTGGAGAGAATGGCGGGGCACGAGTTCTACTATTTCCTAGATGGGATGTCCTGGTATTTCCATATCCCCTTTGCACCGGAGGACCAGGCGAAGACCACTTTCACCTGCCACTTCGGCACATTTGCCTACCGAAGGATCCCATTCGGGCTTTGTAATGCCCCTGCCACTTTTCAGCGATGCATGCTCGCCATCTTTGACCACCTGGTTGGCGAGATCATAGAGGTGTTTATGTACGACTTTTCGGTTTATGGGGACTCATTCTCTCACTGTCTCCATAACCTAGAACTCGTCCTTAAACGGTGTGAAGAAACGAACCTGGCACTTAGTTGGGAGAAGTGTCATTTCATGGTTCGGGAAGGCATAGTTCTGGGGCACAAGATCTCCAAGATGGGGATTGAGGTGGACAGGGCCAAGATCGAGACTATCAGTAAGCTGCCTCCTCCCACATCTGTTAAGGGGATCCGAAGTTTCTTAGGCCATGTAGGGTTCTACAGGCAGATCAAGGATTTTTCGAAGATCGCCATGCCCCTGACTAAGCTCCTTGAGAAGGATACCCCGTTCCAGTTCACCGATGCATGCACAACGGCATTCACGACCTTGAAGGAGAAGCTCACTCATGCTCCTATCATGCTCGCCCCCGACGGGTCCCCTCTCTAGTCCTTTTCACTCAGACTGGTCCCCTTCAAGTCTCATGCAGTCCGTGCACACCGGTAACATCGTTCCCCTTATCCTTCCCTCTTCTCTATTGAGGGCAATGTCGCACTTAAGTGTGTGTGTGTGGGGGGGGGGGGGGATGTTTCTAATTTGACTGCATTAGATCTGTTTGTTTGCTTGGAGCCTAGTCAACTGTCCAAATTTCGATTTGAGGGCTCCAAGTACGTGTTTCCTTGCAAATTTCCTGCTTAGTATGCTTTGAATTGATAGTCTCTATAGTAATGTGCAACCTAGGGAGGTAGTGTAGCACTATGGAGGATGTTGAAGTATAAGATTTTTCCTATCTAACTCTCTGTTGTGTCGGTTGATTTTGTGAATTAGTGTAGCTAAGACCGTTGAATTCATGTGGTAATGGTGACTCCTTTTGAATTGTGTTGTGGACTCGTGTATCGAACAAGGTGCTCATATGGGAAATGAAAAGTAGTTGGTCCTCCATGTTGAAATCACTGAAATCTTAAACATGGGGTAAGCCAAACGTGTGTGGCACCGTTCATTGCACAAAATCGGGTTTTGGAAGAAATTTTAGTGATCCTTAGTGGGGTACTCCTACAAGGTGAAGCTAAGTTATCTCTAGAACAAGTAAAACTTTCACCCGTTGAACGGTTTGCCTACTCGAGGATGTGTTTTTAAGGGCACGGATAGAGCTTCCGACCCCCCTTAATTTCATTGACCCTCCACATGAGTTGAGGAAAAGGAGTTAAAAGAAGTACTCTAGCGAGCGCCAGATGTACAGAAATTGCTCTTGCTCGACTAATACTGTAGTTGGAACCCCCGCTAAGTGAATGAAGAAGAAAAAAAGAAATGTAAAATGAAAGTGCAAAAAAAGGGATTCCAATGGTGAAATGAAGTGAAAGAGCACCCCGGTACAATGAGTCCTTGGTTGTGAATGGTGTGAGTCCCTTTATCCATGAACTGGTTGTCTTACTTCCATTTCTTCTCATGATCCTGGCTTGAGTCTAGTACTCGCATTAAGAGAGATAGGGGACGTCTTAGAAGACCAGTTGACCTCGTAAGCTGCTATATGATCTAGGAAATCCTCTACCGACGATCGGGGTTGTTTGTTGCTGTAGAGGTCTAAAGAGCTACATTGGTTTGAGTTAGGTTTCCTTGGGGACAAGCAAACGGTTAAGTGTGGGAGAATTTGGTAGACCAATAATTAAACATGTTTATACCCCTATTCTTGAGTTGTTGGAGAAGAGATTCTCGTGTTTTAAGCCGATTTCACGCTAGGTTGTGTGTTTATGTCATATTTCAGGGCTTGGCGTTGACATTAAGGCGAAGGAACGAGTTTCGGGTCAAAAGGAGGACGTTTGAGTTGAAGGGTGTTGGAGGAGCAAAATACCCGGCCATGAGCAATAATACCCGGCCGGGTAAAATTCTGAAGAGGCCGGGGAAAATCGATTTTGGGCACCCAGAAGGCAGAAGGGCCCCCGGCCAGAGAGCTAAAATACCCGATTGGGTATTCTGGACCTCGATCGGGTATTAAGGCCTTCACCGCTGCGTTGCATTTCGAAATCCCCGACCGGGCACCTGAAATACCCGACCGGGGATTATGGCCCGGGATCGCGAGCAGCTGGATTTTAAGGGAAAGAAGGCAAGTTTTGAGGGAGGTCCGAGTTTTAGAGAAAGAAAGTGATACCTAGAGAGAGAAAGCGACGAACCAGAGTTCCCAAGCGCCTTAGATCGATCTTCATCATTAGTGGAGCTCGGATAACGCTTGGAGAAGTGCCGATTGACGACCAGGAGCAGAACCTCATTCTTCACAGCATGTTTTCTACTTCTGAGCTAGAGTTTGCTTCTCTCTCCATGGAGTAACTTTTACATTCACCTGGGTATGAAGAACCCTAGATTTGTATGTTAGGTCTGATTGTATGAACCAAAGTATGAATCCATTGCGTTGATTATATTCAATTGAGGTCTGATTGTTGAATGGCATGAATCCTGATCAAATTCCTGTTATTTCTACTTTGACCTAGAAAGAGAATATCCGCCTAGGTTGATAGAGCACCCTTGATTGAAGATTGTGAATTGATGACTTTAGTCGAGGAGTCAATTCACTATTATGTACCGGATTTACTTCGCTAGAGGAGGTTTGGTTCGTTAGGGCCTCAATTTGTTTACTCCGGTGGAGGTTAGTCGCCCGTTGGGGACTCTGATTGAGAGGGTCTGGAGAGCTTTAGTCGAGACTGCAGACTGTTTAAGAACCTCCCGCAGTATAACTATCTTTGAATTCGAACTTGGTAAATTACAATCTGGCTTAACTGTAGTCTAGGGGGAACCATATCTGGGTGACCTCTCTCAACTTGAAAACAACCTTTTACTGCTTTGCTTGTTTGTTTAATTGGACCTTAACTACAGTTTCACTGCTAAATAATAAGAATTCACGGAGTACTCATCACACTTAGGGCCCGGGTTGACATTAAAACCTAAACCCGCTATACTACGCACTAGTAGGTGGTTGCACTTGGCCATTTTCTAGTGTGACGGTAAAGGCTAGTCAGTATTAATCCTAAAAATTACATCGATAAGGAAAAGAAGAAAGAAAATGGGAAGTTACGATAAAAGTTTAGACCCAACCAAGGCTCGAAGCAGAGCTTTGGCCTTCACTTCCCCTCTTCCTCAAAAATGAACTAGGGATGTCTCTATTTATAGAAGAAATTTGGACCGGTCCAGGAAATTGAAGAATACCCACTTGTGCAATCGTCCCACTCGAAGGCTGTTAGCTTAAGCAATTTGTTTCATTCATGTCCAGTGTCCACAGACAACGGACACCTGATTGCTTTCAATTCCAATTAATTTCCATTTTCATTTGTCCAGACCCACTTCACCAGCTTCTTGCCTGCATCATTTGCGACCTCCACTTGTTCCAGCTTCTAGCTTTATCTTTGTATCCAGAGATAGTTTTCCCAGGCAAGCTTGTCCTTTTCTTATGACGACGAACACCCTCCAAGGTCACTACTTTTGGTGATATCGTAGGCGGGAAAAACCCCGGGACCTCCGCCAGCATCCCGGGCAAATGCGCGGTGTCTCTGAGAACACCATGGCAGCGATGAGGATCGAACATAAGACCTCTCTGTTACTAATCCGCCTCTTTTACCACCAGGCTATGTGACATTTGGCAAGCTTCAGCCACTTGCTTCAATTTATGTCAGTTGCTTGCTTCCACGCCGACTAGTTGCTCGCCAATTGATGTCTATTTTCAGAGTTGCTAGCTTCAGCAGCTTGCTCCTCTATTAAGCTTGTATACGTGCAAAACGAGTGGACGTGAAGGAGTTTCTCTCTGATTGCTCAAATCCTGATGATTGAAGTTTATTTGGATAGGTTTTCTTCCATTTGATTCTAAACATCCTAAAACACAAAAACACAAAAACATTAATTACATTAAAATGTGGGTATTGCGGATAGGATTGTTTAGCCTTCGGGGTGGCGTGTTACGAACAACCCAAGTCCCGAAATGTGTTCAATTCGGACTCGCTCTGCCTTCAGGGTGGCTTTTTATAGACGAGGTCCTGCCCAAGGAGCGTTCTGCAAGCAGGGTTGATCTTCCTTTCGGGTGGCGTGTTACGAACAACCCGAGTCCCGAAATGCGTTGAGTACAAAATTACTCTATTTTCGGGGTGGCATTTTATGAGCGAGGTCATGCCCCAATGGGAAATCCGCGGGTGGGGGGGGGGGGGGGTAGCGTGTTACGAACAACTCGATTCCGGTAATGCATTCTGTTCGGACTCGCTCTGCCTTCCAGGTGGCATCTTATAAGCCAGGTTATGGCATGGACGATGTTCCGTGGGCGGGGTTGTTCTGTCTTCGGGGTGACGTGTTACGAACAACCTGATTCCAAAAATGTGTTGTGTTTGGATTCGCTCTACCTATAGGGCGACATTTTATGAGCGAGGTCTTGCCCCAGAGGGCATTCTACGGGTGAGGTTTTCTGCCTTTGGGTTGGCGTGGTACAAACAACTCGAGTCCCGTAATGTGTTGTGTTCGTACTCTCTTTGCCTTCAAGGTGATGTTTTATGAGCGAGGTTATGCCCTAGAGGGCATTCTATGGGTGGGGTTGTTCTGCCTTTGCGGTGGCGTGTTATGAACGACCCGAGTCACAAAGTGTGTTGTGTTTGGACTAGCTCTGCCTTTGGGGTGGTGGTTTATGAGAGAGGTCATGTCCCAAAAGGCGTTCTGCAAGTTGATTGTTCTTCCTTTGGTGTGGCATGTTACGAACAACCCGAATTCCGGAATACGTCGTGTTCGGACTCACTAAGCCTTCAGGGGTGGCGTTTTATGAGCGAGGTCCTGGCATGTCGTTGGTAGGACGTCCAGGTTACTATACTTTGACAAAAATTGTTCTTTTCATTGAAAATGTAACCCAAAATACATCAAACTTTCATTCAGCTGAAAAGCTTGTGCAGATGCACGGAATTCCACATCTTGTTCAATGATTTGGGCCTAATTGTACACTTTTTACCCCCATTTTCCTTAGGCGTTTGAGATATTTCCACTCCGAGAGTTTTGGTTTTACGCTAGGTTATGCCTTGTTTTAGCATGTTTCAGACTCAAGCAGGTGGAACCAGCCGCAGAGTCGGAAGTTGGACGCAAAGAGGATGGGGGATTAAATCGGTGGAGGTAAGTGCACTCTAAGTGATATCCTCGTTGTTGCTATGAAATTGATGTTGCAGTTCGGTGGGCTCAATGTTATGATTCGGAGTACAATCAGGGAAGAGGTTTTTTTCTCAATACTGTGACAAACTTGGGTGGTTGAGTAGTGGATACGGGGAAGTGGATTTAAGGGTTATAAAGGAGTTTAAGGGAATCACATTCATGATTGACGTTGGTCGCAACTTGCTTGATCATATGAAAAAAATCCAATTGGCTTAACAATACCTTCTTGGCATTAGGTCTCTCTTGACATAAGCATTTTTTGGATGCTTTGGGTGTGCACCAAAAGGTGTTGTGAGGTGGGCTTGAGAAGATATGTGTGAAGGAAGCTATGGACATTAGTATGGAGCAGGGGTGCTTGCGTTAGGTAGTATTGGTTGCATTAGCGGATGGATTGGAAGTGAATGGGGTGGGGAGATTAATGACTAAAGTGTCCAGGCCTGTGAATTGGTTGAGTGCATGGGAAATCCTGTCGGAATGGTGGAGATGGCAGGGTTGTCTACGATGCATGGAACACAAGGAAGTGGAAGAATAGTATGGAAAAGTTGGTTTAATCCTGCCATAATTAGTGAATCCGCTATGCTAGCTCCTTCAATGGACAGTCCTATTAAGAAGTCCTATCATGATTAGTTGAGCATAGTTACATCCTCAACTATTTCATTTTAGCCTAGGATCATCATATTAATGTGAACGGGTTTGAGGCAATGTATGTTAGTGCTTATGTGAAATCAAGCCAATTGAGCACAAGTGTAGAGTTTGGACTGAAGTTCAGAGATCATGGTATCATGCAGAAAACCAGGGTTGTGATCCTTGTCTGTATATGAGTTGAATGGCATGTAAAAAAGATCATGCTTGTGATATCAGCGATCAGACCGTGAACTCTAGCACACATTTTTCACAAAGAAACATAAATTCTCGTGGTCTGGTCTCGAGAGAGTGTCCGATCGTGATTTCAGAGTTTACGGTTGTGACAAAAGGAACACAACCTAGCGTGAAATAAACAAAGGAATGCAAGAAACTAAGCTCAAATGACTAAGAAATGAGGGAACAACCTGTGTAATTATAGTGTTATCAAATCCCCCGCACTTAATCGTTTGCTTGTCCCCAAGCAAACCAAGTACAACACATGGTAAGCTTATAACATCTTTCTTGAAACTCATGGTGACATGTCATAGAGGCACAAAACACGTGAATCACAATGGTTATTTGGCACCGACAATGGAACAACATCAATAGCAACCCTGACAACCACCACAGATGACATTCGAATGCAGCAAAATCATGGAAAGGAAGAGTCTTCTTTTTGTTTACTGACCAACAAACAACTTGTCTCAACTACTCACTAGTCATAGTAACCCATGCATAATGATCAAGACATCAGAATCAGAGGTCAAGCAATCTAGGTCCTTACTGGGATAGACAACATGCAAAATGAATCAATCACTCTCGACTAGAGGGGTCATGACAATTTGATGCAAAATATGCGCATACTCATTCTCTCATCCCTAACTTCTCTTCACCATGACGGTAGCCTCTAAGTTTTAGAGTTCACAAAAAAGGTATCACCACTGACTTGTCAGGAGGACTGGAACAGGTTGCAAAGTAACTAGATAAGGGCTAGGACATGGGGTATGGGATAATTAGGTGGTGGATGCATAGAGTTCAAAGTTACACACTTCCAAGGCAAAGACCTAAAATCAAGTTGTAATTATAGTTTGTTTGGTTAGAACATTCACACTTGTCCACTAGATATCAACTTAATTAAAATTAGCAATAGTTTCCATACCCGAAAAACCACAGGAATTTCAGGAAAAAAATCTGGCGTAAAAAAGGGTCTCTGGCAAACATATCGAGATGTAACGGGTGGGGTGATCTCGTAGTCAGGGGGAAGTCACAACTGGATTCTCGAATGTCATAGTCTTGACATCCAGAGTCCATGCGGTGACATTTGAAAAATGAGCAAGGGATTATTGGAATGTGATGGTTGGAGGTCCAATGTCACGAGATGGGTTGTGACATTCTAATGTTCTCCGTTTTGCCATTTTTTGACTTCTCTGTGCCCCAAAATGAATCTCACACATCCAAGGACAAGAACCAGACAACCTAGGGCACAAAACTGACTCAAAACACACATTATGACTCAAACACAAAAACAAAACATAAAAGGGAAAGAAAATGCAACAAACGCTTATTTTACGTCTTTACCTTCTCCCTGGTGGTCATCTCTCCACCTAGGTAGAGCTTGAGTTTATGCCCATTGACCTTGAAAATATCACTATGTGGATGAGAGATCTAACTCACGCAATAGGGGAAGATTTGTGTGGCGGTGAAGGGTCTTGAAAATCGTGATCCCAGCTTCTCAGTAAACAGTTAAAGGCAAGAATTATAGAGGATAACTCAATCGTTAGGCTAGAATTTAGCACCTTCAAACGAGCATCGTGTAGATGCTATGTTCTCTCTTTGTACAATCGCGTGTTCTCATAGCTTGATACATCCAATCGTCTAGCTCCAAAACCTATAACTTTCTCTCATTTCCAACAACATTTATATCGAGCTTAAGCAGTTTAATGGCCCAGAAGACTTTATGCTCTAGCTCAACTAGAAAATGACAGGTCTTGCCACATACAAGCCTAGATGGAAAAGTGCCAATATGCATCTCATAAGCCGTGTCATAGGACCATAGAGCATCATCAAGTTTGGTAGACCAGTCCTCTTGGGATTAGTCTACCTTCTTTTACACGATCCGCTTAACTCCTGGTTTGTCAGCTCGGCATGGCGACTCGTTGGAAGGCGGTAAGTCATAGAGACCTTACGAGTCACACCATAAAGGGAGGGGAGCTTATCAGATTGGCCTTGGAAATGGGTGTCTCTCATGCTCATGATTGGTTTAGGTGTCCCAAAACGAGAGAGGTGTTGTTTCAAAAACTAACAAACGCATCTAGCATCATTGGTGGGCCAAGCTTGTGCTTCTGTCCACCTTGAAACATAATTAGCATTGACTATAATGTATTTGTTACCAAATGAAGGAGGAAAGGGTCCCATGAAAGCGATGCCTCAAACATAAAAAAAAACTTTACATATAATAAACATATTATGAGAATCTCGTTATGGGAAGAGATGTTACCGGAATACTCTTAGTGGTTCCGTTTGCATGAGAAGGTCTTGGCATCCTTGAAGAGCGTGGTCCATAGAAGTCTGACTGGAGTCCTCACCGTGCATTTCATCCATGATGGTCTTTCATGGGGCCCTAGTGGCAGTGGGAGAAAATTTCTTGCATCCCCGCCTCCATGACACATAAACATAATATGCCATCAACGCCGATCCATAACAAGTATGGATCATCCTAGAAGTTATGGTGGATGTTAGAGAACAAATTTCACTTGGCCTGCATGGTCATCACCTTGGGCGCCTCCTTGCTAATGAGGTAGTTGGCCAACTCTGAGAATCATGGAGTGGCACTCTCTACTAAGAACATCATGAATAGCCTCTCGTCTGGGAAGGAGTTATTGATCTCCTCCTCGAAGTTTTCCACCAAAAATTCTAAATAAATCTCAACAAATTCGCTGAAGACAATCGGTACAAGCTGTATTGACGTATATGATGGTGTTGGGTGCTAGGGTAACTAGACTATGATACCAATTGATGAAAGAGAGGATCTTGGTATCCAAATGTGATTACCATTAAGATAGAATTAAGGAGAATCAAACAAAATAAGGGAAACAAATAGAATATGGGACGAGAAAGAATTGAGGCTAGAGAATTTAGGGGGCCAAAAAAGAACTTATTGAAGTTGAAAGAGATGTAAAACAAAAACTAGGGTTTAGAGAGAACAAAATCAATAGATTAGAGAGAAAGAATATAAAGAGTTTTGAGATAATAGATTAGTTAAATATTCTATTTATTCTTCAATAATCTAATTGAATGAATAAAGACGCACAATTAATTTCATGGCTTCCCTTCTAAATACTAATACTACGTCATTGAATTGGCTGCTTCCCAAATAAAAAAATAAAGGGTGTGCCTACGGTGACATGCATGTCACGGTGACTTGCACTTTCTGGTCGACCTTAGTTAGAATTAGGTCGACCTCATTTAGAATTCGGTCGACCTCATATAGGATCTGGTAGACCTAATCTGTTTGTTTTAGTGTAAAAACAGTTCATGGCGCATACTTTAGATATTCATATCATACAATTGGCTAGATGGAAATTGAAGACTAATGACTTGTTTTGAAGCTGGAGTGTTCCTCTACATATTGAAGTGATTGAGAGCTCGATAGGAAGTCTAGAAGACCATTTTTGAACCTCATCAAAAGGCTATGCCAAAACTAGGAAACTGCCTGGAAATGGCTAAGTCTGGTAACGTGTTTGTGAAGCCTATTTTGGAGCTCAATTCAAGAAGCATGAATGCGAGTCGAGTCCAGGAGCCTCTACCACGTTAAATTACGTATGTTTTTATACAAATTCAAGGCATTGGATGAAAGATTGGATATCTTTAAGGCTTCAAATAAAAGGGTCGAAGTTGCTACGAATGCTGTTTTTCTGGCAGACTTCGAGCACAAGCAAGCTGCCAGAAAAACAGCCTTCGTAGGCCGTAGCAACTTCGAGCCTTTTGTTTGAAGCCTTAAAGATATTCAATCTTTCATCCAATGCCTTGCCTTTGTATAAAAAAAAATACGTAATTTAACGTGGTAGAGGCCCCTGGACTTGACTCGCATCCATGCTTCTCAAATTGAGCTCCAAAGTAGGCTTGACAAACACGTTGCCAGACTTAGCCATTTTCAAGCAGTTTCCCAATTTTGGCATAGTCTTTTGGTCAGGTTCAAAAATGGTCTTCTGGACTTTCTATTGAGCTCCCAAGTACTTTAATGTGTAAAGGGACACTTCAGCTTCAAAACAAGACTTTAATCTTCAATTTCCATCTAGCCAATTGTAAGATATGAATCTCCAAAGTAGACACCATGAAACTGTTTTCACACTGAAACAACAGATTAGGTCGACCTAATCCTATATGAGGTCGACCGAAAAGTGCATGTCACCGTAGCAAAGTCCAAAAATAAAACAACCACACAATAAATATCATGGCTTCCCTTGTAAATAAATCCATATTATTAGAATGATTAATAACATCCAATTTAATGACTAATTATTCATTCATTAGAATAATATAATAAAGATAATGGTGATCAATGTAGTCAAAATGGCATTTCTACGTAGAAGCGTTTTGGTGATCAAGAAGTGTAAAATCGTAAGTTTTTAAGGTTTTCAGCGCGTTTTAACTACAATAGCCATAAAAATTTATATTTTACGTAGAAACGTTTTGGTGACCTAGAAACGTAAAAGCATAAGTTTTTAAATTTTAAAACGCGATTTTGACTACATTGATGGCGATATTGAGAAGAAGGAAGAGACAATTCGATGGTATAGATAGAGATTTCAATGTGGGAGACGAAGAAACTATTATTAATGTATGTGAAGATGTTGATGATGAAGCAAACTCAGAATTCCAAAATTTTGTTTGCATAATTTTGATATCAAAGAGTACATTAAAGTGTAGTTTGGTTTAAAAAAAACTAGATATGGGTTCCCTTGCTTGTGTTTTTACTTTTGGTTACAATTTTGGACGATAAATCGGCCAGGATGCCAGAAAAATTTATGATGTATATTTCTTTTGGATTTTTCATGTAATTAATGAATTTGAATTCTATTAAAACACCAACTAAAATGTGTCATGCTTGTACATGGTCACCGGGCTGTGCCGCTCACGGGCTAGCACGGCACGACACGGTTAGAGCACGGCACGAGCACGGGTACGAAATAAATAGGCCAGCCCGGCACGAGCACGAATAATTTATGGGTCGTGTCGGGCCTAAACTTCATGGGCATGGGCACGACACGGTATATAAGTGGGCCGTGTCGGGCCTAATATTTTCGAGACTTTATTGAGTAAAAGATATATACGTAATTACTTGCATAAGTAAAAATGGACAAAGAATTAAACAAAGCCAAATCACACTCGCTATACTTTCAATTTTCTTTTCCGCTTATTTGTTACTTTTCTCAAACATTATCGGTTAATACTATCTTCCCCTTTCCAATTTTCACCTTCTTTTTCATTCTCTCTTTTGTTTTCGTCATTTTCATTAAACACGAATACGAGCATGGCACGAGCACGAATAGGCACGGCACGATTCGAACCGTGCCCGGGCCCGAGCCGGGCCTAGCAAAATTAACAAATGGGCTTTCATGGCAGCACACGAAAACTGGCGGGCCGTGCCAAGTACGACACGAAATAAATGGGCCCGAAGCGTGCCCGTGCCGTGCCGGCCCAAGCACAGCCCAGCGCCCATGTATAGTCATGCTTCATATAATTAAAATTGTTGTTTATGTTATTAACCAAATGAACCCGATCATCGTGTCGAGCCCAAATCTAGTTATTAATTTGCATTGTTATAAAAATCGAACATGACAATGGTTGGATTAGTAGAACCAATAAAATAATTATAATATCGATTTGATTCATTTGATTGAACAATTAGAGACGGACCCAATGGTTTTTGTCAGTTTGACATGAAATCAGATGAGCCACCCCGGTTTGACTGGTCCACTAGTTCACAATTTAACCAAAAAAAATTAAAAATTATTTTTAATGTAAACTAAGATCACCCCACCACATTTACTAATAATATTTATTATTTCATCATTTTCATCTCAACCTCCTTGTCATGTTTATGTTACACTGAGTTCTAACTTGAATTTAATAAAAAGAAAATTTGATTTTTTTTTTTGAGATAATTTGAACACTTTGTTAGAACTTTTTGCTGATAAATGATATGAATTTAAATTCTTTTATAATAAGTGACACTCCTAAATTAGTGTGATATATATTTCTTTATGTTATAGGGCATGAAAAATCCTAAATTGATGACAATTTATTAATATGTTTTTTTTTTCAGTAGAGCACATATGAATAAATAATTGAATATGAATGAAGATGCCAATTGTGTGTAAGTTTTTTAAAATAATGGAGCTGGGCCGATTTCTGAAGGGAAGAAAGGGCTTTAAGATCCAATCCAGCTCCCGGCCGAGAAATGGACCATACAGTGAACGAAGCCCAATCAGACAAAGAAGAGAAAAGATCGGAAAAGAGAGAGATTCATGCCCAAACCCCGAATATTCGTGTTCCGCAATTAGGGTTTGGTTGTCCGGATAGCAGTCCTATATAAACCTCCGTATTCCCAGAGTTTTTGTAGACATCATCATCTCTTGCAAAGCCCCGCAGCTTAAGTGACAACCAGCAAGAGATTTACCAATCAAAGATGGCGGAGCAAACTTTCATCATGATCAAGCCCGATGGAGTCCAGAGGGGACTTGTAAGTGATTCACGTCCTCAATCGCTTGAACCTCTTTCAATTTTCTGCAAATACATAAAATAGTTTTTTCTTCTTCTTCTGAAACAAAGTACATAATAGTTGATTCGTTGCTTTTGCGCCGTGTTCTTCTAAAGCTCTGTAAATGAGAAAACAATCCGGTTGATATGCTTAAGTTTTCTACAGGTTGGCGAAATCATCAGCAGATTTGAGAAAAAGGGTTTCTTTCTCAAGGGTAAGTTTGTTTGTTTGTGCGGAGAAGTTGTTAGTTTGCATTGTGTCCGGTTCAATGTCTGAGCAATAGTAGTCTGCTTATTCCTGTTTAGGTTTGAAGCTGATTTCTGTGGATCGCTCGTTTGCTGAGAGGCACTATTCGGACCTGTCTGCCAAGCCATTCTTCAGCGGGCTTGTAGATTACATCATCTCTGGCCCTGTTGTTGCTATGGTTTGGGAGGGTAAGAATGTTGTTACAACTGGCCGCAAGATCATTGGCGCCACAAATCCTGCCGAGTCTGCTCCTGGGACCATCCGTGGCGATTTTGCAATTGACATTGGCAGGTAAACTATTTGAGCTGGGAATTGTTTTTTTGGTCTTTAATCTATTTTTAGCTTCTGCTTTGTGTAGGTCAGGTGCGTTTAATTCTTCTTTGAAACAGAGAATGCAGTCTCAGAGTCTTTGTTTGACTGAGGGTTTGAGCTTACTGTTTTACCTTAGCATTAGGAATACTATATATCTAACTTGTTTAAGCTACTTCCATTCAAAGTTACAGATCAATCTGAGTTCAACATTGGTCGAGCGAATTTGTATATCCCTTGTTTAGTTAGTTGTCTTCTATGCCCTCATTACCAACGATTTATAAATGTCCATAATTGCTTGTTCTCAAATCTCTGTGTAACAGGAACGTCATTCATGGAAGCGATTCAGTTGAGAGTGGAAGGAAGGAGATAGCATTGTGGTTTCCTGAAGGCCCCATTGCCTGGTCAAGCAGCGTGCACCCATGGATCTATGAGAATTAAAGTGATTGCAGCAATGGCACCCTCTACTCTAGTGAACTAGTTCCTTCTTCCCTTTGTCGAGCAACTTTTTTTAAGAACATTTGGTACTGTGTGGCTTGATTTTGTTTACGAGCATGACCTTTTGATGAAACATTTAAGTAGCGTCTTTTGTTTTGGTCTTTGGGTTGAAACTTTTGCTTATATGGTACTGTTCAGTTCTGAATTGGATGTTAAACTAGTGTCTCTTTTATAAAGACTAGCTTTGTGCCCGGCCTTTCCCCTGATCTACTATGTTATAGTCACTTACATGATAGTTAGATTTATCTAAGTTAATGGTAAGCTAACGTGATGAACATGAAAGCAGTTCTAGTTACTTACATGGATATCTAGGTACGGATAATGTATGTCATTGTCAACATAAAAATTGCATTGTTTGGAGATGTTTGGAAGCGGGTGGCATTATAGGCCTGCCATGGCAAGTCGCTTCGTGATGGTGTCACCTGATTTGGGTTATAACCAGAGTACGCTTGCAGTTTTGGTCACTCAATATATAAGTTATGATAAGTTGCGTTAATGTATTGCCCATTTTTGAGTCTCCAGTGGTAGAGCAGTAGTGATGAATGCCTGGATCAAGGGAGGGTTATTTGGTTTAGGAAAATGGTGGATGGTATGGTGGTGGACTGGTGCGGGTAAGATGGGAAGTGGGGTTAGGGGTGTTCAAATGGTTACCGTGGTAATAACCAAACCAATTAAACCTAAATTTCATTAACCATAGAATAAAATATCTTAACCAAACCGTGCAAATTAACACGAAAACCAAATTAACCAAACTAAAATTTAATTGGTTTGGTTAATCGGATAATCGGATTAACCAAATAACATAACATGAAAACAAACATAAACTATCATTTTATATAAGCAATAATAACAAGACTAACCATCCATGATATCATCATTCTTCGATTTAATACATTATTCATCATCTCTGCACCTAATATAAGTAGCTTACAACAAACCCCTTAACATAAATCCATACCAATACCCATCATCAGGAAGTTAAAACTCTCCTACAAAACACTTAAACTATACATAGTTTGAGGTGGTTGTCATAGTATTGTACGTAATCCTAAAGTCAAGTAGTTGTCAAAAATGTTTTGGTTTAGTAAATATAGGCATGCCCATTTAATTTTTGACCCATAATGTTTTGGTTTGTTGTGCACATGAAAATAAAATAGGGAATCACGAATGTTTGGTTTGGTTGGTTGCACGGAAGTATAAATAATTTTGTATATTAGGTGTATCTTTTATTGGTTAATTGGTTTCATTGGTTAGTAGTGTTGAAACCAAACCAAACCACCTAAACCAAATAAGCTAAATTGTTTAACCAAACCATTTATCCAAATTAACCAAACCAAATTAACCGAATGCTACCGGTTAATATGGTTACCACGGTAACCGATCCGTTTGAACACCCCTAAATGGGGTGATTTGGTGATTGAGAAAGGGACAGAAGAGGGTTTGGGTTGGTTTGTACCTGAAAAGGGAGGGGGAAAGGAAGAGGCCGATTGACCGAAGAAGAGCTAAAGTGAAGAGGGATTAGAAAGTGATTAAGTGATTGCTTATGCCTTAACAATTTTAATGACATTAATACGTAGACTTATTGTCTCCTAACAATTACCACAATAATCTCAAATCTCCCCAAATATTCTCAATAATCCCAAATCTTCTAAAATTCCAATGGACATCCTTAAATAACAATAATAATAAATATGACGTAATTAAAGTAACAAATTGCTCACAGGTCAATAATACGTGACTTCATCAAGTGGTTAGTTTTTTATGTAGTGACAGTGGAAGGGTTCTTAGGAGGTTGGGGTTCCTGGGTTCTATGGATGTCTTTTCAAACATATTTAAGTCACTAATGTCCACAATTTCTTGAAGTACATCGGTTTATTGCTAGTGGGGAGGGTGTAGCCAATCCGTGCAAGTTATAACTCATAGCAGAGAAACAAACCAATATGATTGGGCAGTCTTGAAAGTCTTGTCTCTCAGATTTTAGCGACATTTTTTTACCCATCTGCATCAATGGATGAATTTGTTGTGTATGTCTGTCCTTTCTCACAATGCAAAGGGGATCATTCTATATTGTCTCCTTTATCTGGGGTGGTGAGCAACGAATATAAAGCAACAATGAAATAGGATTAGTGACGCCAAAAACAGATAAGCAACAAAAACCAAATGAGAAAGAGAAATCTCGGTTACGGCAAGAAGAGAAGCCAATCAAACAGAAATATATTAGAATAATCAAAAACCGAACCAAGTCCTCGACACATCCTTCCTTCCTCTTAGCAAAATTAGAATCCAAAATCTAAATTCAACGCCTGGAGCCACCCAAGGGAACAGGAAACCTGCATAGAAATTTAGGGTTCAAATTCGAGATAGAGGAAGGCACCTCAATTTGTGAGGAAGTACTGCAGACGTCACCCAAATATCCCAGCCGGTTTTAATGTTATTTAACCACTACAGCGAGCGAAAGAAATCCAATTGATGATGTATGTACCTTAGAAATTTTGATGGAACTCGGATCGAGTCTCTGTAAGTAGATAGCAAAGGAGACGTTTGAAATGGAGGGAATTAGGGTGTCGATCCATCATTAGGAAATAAGAGACGGTTGAGCGGTTGAAAAGAGGGATTTTTTTCAAGAGAGATGATATTGGAAGGGAAAGGAATAGCTTTTTCCCAAAATTGACGTGGATAGGCTAAATTTTCAAAAAAGCTGACCTAGATGATGCCAAAAACTAAAATTATTTTAATAATTTGGGTAATGTCTATTTTTTATCCAAACCTTTTTCAGATTCTTTTATATTATCCAAACCTATTAAAATTCTATTAGATTATCCAAACCTATTATCGGCCAAGGGAGAGCTAGAGAGAGGAAGAATTGGAAAGTGATTATAAGTGATTTATTTATTCCTTCATAAATCCAATGAAAATAATGCGTAGACCTATAATCTCCTCCTCCTAACAACTACCACAAAAATCTCAAATCTCCCCAAATATTCTAAAAAATCCCAAATCTCCCAAATCCCAATGAACATCCTCAAATAAAAATAATAAAAAATTTGACGTAATTAAAGTAACAAACTGCTTACTCGTCAATAATACGTGTCTTCATCAAGTGGTTAGTTTTTTATGTAGTGCCAGTGGAAGGGTTCTTTGGAGGTTGGGGTTCCTGGGTTCTTTGGATGTCTTTTGGAACATATTTAAGCCACTAATGTCCACAATTTCTTGGAGTACATCAGTTTATTGCTAGTGGGGAGGGTGTAGCCAATCTGTGCAAGTTATAACTCATAGTAGAGAAACAAACCAATATGATTGAGCAGTCTTGAAAGTCTTGTCTCTCAGATTTTAGCGACATTTTTTTACCCATCTGCATCAATCGATGAACTTGTTGTGTATGTCTGTCCTTTCTTACAATGCAAAGGGGATCATTCTACATTGTCTCCTTTATCTGGGGTCGTGAGCAACGAATATGAAGCAACAATGAAATAAGATTAGTGACGCCAAAAACAGATGAGCAGCAAAAACCAAATGAGAAAAAGAAATCTCGGTTACGGCAAGAAGAGAAGCCAATCAAACAGAAATCTGAATTCACAATCAAACAGAAACATATTAGAATAATCAAAAACCGAACCAAGTCCTCAACACATCCTTCCTCTTAGCAAAATTATAATCCAAAATCTAAATTCAACGCTTGGAGCCACCCAAGGGAACAGGAAACCTGCATAGAAATTTAGGGTTCAAATTCGAGACAGAGGAATAGGGATGGCAATGGGTCGGGTTGGGCGCGGATAGTGCGCATCCGTTACCCTACCCAAAGTAGTTTGGGTTTTACCCATACCCATACCCACACAAGAAATGGGTAGAAAATCAAAACCATGCCCATACCCGTTCGGGTTTCGGGTATCCACGGTTATCCATGAGTACTAATTTCTCTTTATAACTCCAACCAATATGTTAACATTCACACGTATTCTCACATTACATAAGAGGAAAAGTACGACTATAATTCACTAGAATGAAGAAAAATAATCAAAACGACACAATTTCATGAAAATATTATATTTATATGCTAAATATAAAATATTTTTGAGAAAAATAATGATTATATATATACAAAATACATATGCATGTGTATAATCGGGCGGGTTCGGATTGGATAGTGAGAAATCCATGCCTACCCATTCCCCCGCAAAATTCGGGTTCGGGTTTTACCCATACCCACAAAAATTCCTTCGGGTTCGGGTTTTACCCTACCCGATTAGGTCGGATTCAGGTGGATATCCACGGTTACGGATATTTTTGCCAATCCCTACAGAGGAAGGCACCTCAATTTTTGAGGAAGTATTGCAGACGTCGTCCAAACAACCCGGCCAGATTTAATGTTATTCAACCACTACAACGAGCGAAAGAAATCCAATTGATCATGTACCTTAGAAATTTTGATGGAACTCGGATCGAGTCTCTGTAAGTAGATAGCAAAGGAGACGTTTGAAATGGAGGGAATGAGGGTGTCGATCCATCATTAGGAAAGAAGAGAGGGTTGAGCGGTTGAAAAGAGGGCTTTTTTCAAGAGAGATGATATTGGATGGGAAAGGAATAGGTTTTTCCCAAAACTTACGTGGATAGGCTAATTTTTCATAAAGGCTGACGTGGATGATGCCAAAAATTAAAATTGTTTTAATAATTTGGGTTATGTCTATTTTTTATTCAAACCTTGTTCAGATTCTTTTATATTGATACTAAACAACTTTTGGCAATAAAAAACACTATTCGAAAGCAAACGACTAACTAGTTATTTGGTACATAGAGAGTGATATGCTTGATAGTTTTGCCTAATAATTTATTTTAATTTACAAAAAATTTCCCCATATAAGATTATATGATTAAAAAACTTAACAAAAATTATTTTAAAATGTGTATCTTTTAAGTGGACTCACGTAAGATGAAATCCTTGCCACGCACCTACATATAGGCCTTTCATCTGATAAGGCTATTAATCCATACCACCCAAAGACTACACCCCTCTGAATGAATAATAGGCACAGTAGCCTGCATAAACAAGTCACAATCCGCGTATATAACCCCAACCCTCCCTCTTTCATCGGAGTAGGTAGAATATCCCATGAGACCTTTGTCTTCCCTAAACCATCACCATACCATTGAAAATATGAACAAATCTTGTGAAGATGATCCAATTCTTCCTAGAAAATAATCACTTAACACTTGTTTGGGATTGCACCATAGACTAGATACAATGTAAAATTGTTCCAGAATTTGTTTCACTTAACTAAGGGCATCAACTGAACCTTCAGTGAAGATCAATAGATCGTCCGCAACTCATAGGTGCGTAAGATCTATTATCTTACACTGAGGGTGATAGAGCATCGGCGCTATCTGTGCAGCCCTATATAGCATTTAAGAGAGAGGTTTCAAAGCCACAGTGAACAAGTATGACGACAATGGGTCTCCCTGTCCCACCCATTTATTGGCAAGGAAATAACCAAATAAAGAACCATTGATACTAATGCTAAAATATGAAGAACCAAGACATGTCTGGATCCACTCACTGTAAGTGTTAGGAAAACTCACGACCTCTTATGCGTTGTCTAGTGTAGACCAAATTAACATGCCCCGAAGACCACGATCGTATTCCCTCAGGCCTCTCGCAGAACCCTTACTTTCGAACCGAGGTACAATTCTATGGAAGAAGAGAGCGGGTTGTGGAGGTTGAGGTGCCTCCGGTTTTGCAGAACGTAAGAGTTCAAAGTAACACGGTCCGAAAAAGTTCTATAACTAATATGTTAGTGTGGAAAGCAGAATAGGAAGGTGTTGCGCATGCATGCTCCCTGTAGAGTTCCTTTGACTATGCTATAATTCTTACTATATATAGTCGTGTTTATGGGAATCCACAATGGATTTCTCGTCTTACTATGCTCTTATTTGACCGCTTCACCCTCACGATTAGGGATGGCAATCAAACCCATGACCGCGGATATCCGACCGTCCCCGACCCAGTCAACGAGGGGAATCCCCGCTTTGACTGGGTATGGGGCGGGTGTGGGTAAAACCCACAAAAAGTTTGATGGCTATGAGACGGGTATGGTTTTAGCCTCCCCCTCTCTATACCCGTACCCGCTCAACCAAGAGAATATTTTCACATATAAAAAAAATATGTGGATCACATGTAACCTATCAATGATAATGAAGATAACTCGAGAAAATAAATAGTAGAAATGCAATTGAGTGGTCACCCTAATCAAAATCTAATTCATTTCCCACAATTCTCCTTTCACTCTTTCCCTTTCCCCCTTGTCAACAAGATTATGTTAGTTATTTATTACTTAGTAGATGTATTAGAGTTCAAGCATGATAATTTGGAAAATATTGTACTCTATATTTGGTATTAATGGATGTTTTTGGATTATATTTTTAGAAACGTATGAAAAAAATGATCGCTTCTTGTTGACTTCATGATATAGTAGGTTCATTTAGTTTTGTAATTAAAATTTTTTTGTTAAGTTTTAGGTATAATAATGTTGGATGTACTAGACATGGGTACACAAAACCCAAGAGTATGGGGATGGGTTTGCAAAACATTCTCCCTCATGGGTAAAGGTGGCAATTTCAATCCAATCCACCAATCCAATCCATCAATCCATTCAAAATATCCACTTAATCCAATCCATTTAAATCCAATCCATTTTATCCAAATCCAATTGGATTGGTGGATTCATGAATTGGATCCATGGATCATTGGCAAATTACGGTTTAGTACCTATAATTTTTATTTTTTACATTTTGGTACCTAAATTTAATTTTATATACAAAAAATATCATTGGAAAATTACATTTTGGTACCTAAAATTTTTCATTATGACATTTTAGTACCTAAACTTTTTACATTTTACATATTGGTCCTTGGTTGAGGATGTCATTTGGATTTATGGATAATCCACCAATCCACTTGATCCAATCCATGAATCCACCAATTCATTTGATCCAATCCATTTGATCCATGAATCCACCAATCCATCAATCCAATCCATTTACCAACTCTACTCATGGGTATGAGATCGATATGGATTTTGGTATTTGAAAACGATATGGGGGAACAACGTCACCAAGACAACAAACGCTACATTCTGTATTCCAGCTCACTTGGACCTCATCACACTCACCTAACACAAAAGATAAAACACTGCCCCACTACTCAACAAAGAAATCACGCTCAGACCAACGGTTTTTACCCTACAATTTCGACACCTCAAAACACTGGAGGGCCACCTTTGAATAAGGATGGTAAGTGGATTTGACATGGGTGTCTGAGTTACAAGAACCCGGGAGAAGATAGTGGAACGATCACAAGAAAATAAAAGGACACAATGGATGCCCAATGTCGGGCCAACATCCTGCTGTTGACAGGAAATTAGTTAACTCGCCGCAAATCTCATCATATCATATACTACCGTTTAAGAAGGCTGTACGAGGGTAGTTCTTCAAGCCGTGTTATGTCTTCTGCCAAAAGTTCCCGTTCCAGTTGTCTTCGTGTAGATTTCATAACAGCCTGCAGAGAACCAAGGTGGCAGATAACAAATTTGTCATAATAATTTATTTTCTCTAATGTGAAATGTAACATGCACTCTATTCTGGGCTTCAAAACGCAGAAGCATCCAGTGCTTCAGAAGACAGAAGGACCATGCAACAAATAACAAGCTTTTACTTCCATGAAGCAAGAGCAAGCATTGATTAATGGGCATATCCATATCTGAACAAGAAGGCGAGTTTCAGCTACAGCTTACATTGAAGTCCATGTATGATGCATGCATGGTAAGCCATTGCTGATCCATTAGCTTGAATGTGATGCAGTATAGGAGATCAAACGCTGATTCATTCTCTGCAGCAATCAAGCGTTATATAGGACTTAGACAGTACATAGAAGGTGTTTGCAAAATATTAAATAGAATTGAAGATATCAAGATTTACCAGTGAGGAACTTCAAAAAAGTTGCTCCTACCAAACTCCGGGGCTTGACTGTGGAAGTGAAGTTCAAACTTAGATACTTACTCTATATTATTGAGTTGTACAAAGAACGAGCTAAGTGAAACAATGAAAGTATATCCCATTTGATAATTTTAGAAGAGAGTATCTGGATGGACCTGCTTCCAGATCAAGCATCTGAATTAGCATGAATGTGATATTCACACCAGCTACAGCAAATGGGTATTCCCAAACCGAACGGTCTCCTTCTCGCTTTTGAAGAAGATCCTGGAATGATTGCTGCATTGGAATGTTAAGTGAACCTGAGCATTAGAAAGAGGACGTGGATTGCTGACATGTGCACTTATACATGGAGTTTAACTGTTATCAGGCTATTGTCAAAGCAAAATCACCCACATCAAGGGCCATTCGCCATGGCATAAAGGCAAAATTGAAACTCCAATGAAATGGAAAAGGGAAGTCCAGACATTAAGGTAATAACACAAAAATATCCAACATACCGGGAAATTCCTAGCAAAGTATAACAAGTTCTCCAATGATATGAACCCACCGCCCCTGAAGGATTAATTACACAACATTGCAAGTTACTGGGAAGACATACTAGAAAATGAACTATTAAGGCATTGACAAATAACCATGTCGCCTACCTAAAATCTGTGGACGGATCCTTCCCCTGCCAACCCATCTCCTTCCATTGCTCAGAAATCAAACCACATAGCTCCTCTTCAGGGAAAGCAGCATTCCATAATGCCCTCAGAGCTTCCTACAAGAAAACAGCAATTTGCATCTGTACTGAACACAGAGCTTCCATTGGAATTTCATGGGCAGCCAAGTATCTCCGTTTGACATTTTAGCAAAGAAGCATTGTTCTCGTGACTAAGTTGCAAGAGAACAACACAAGAACTGATAAGAAATTTCAATAGAGGCTGCACCTGATGCTCATGAACTGAACTATCATATGGTATATCTATACGACTCTGCAACTGCTGCAAGCATTCTTCCTGTTAAAACCACACGGAGATAAATGGCCGTTCAATAACCGGATCGGAAGACAAAGATGGAAGGAAAAATGAATGCCAGCTGTCAGGTTATTAGGGAATTCAGGATTTACAAGCATCTGAGGCAAAAAAAAAAAAAAAAAAACACTAGGACACAATATCAGCAATGCTGAAGCTATTAGGGAATCAGAGTGATATGTAATCCTGAAAAGCTGCGGCTGCATCTCATCAAGCAATAAAAGCATCCATAACCAACAAAAATTTGGAGTAGCCTAAGTACAGGTATGAAGGAAAGAAGAAATCTACCAGTGAATGTTTGTTACGAGTAGGGCTGGGAAAATAGACCAGACCGTTAGAAAAATCGTGGTCCAAACCGTACCGTACAGTTTGGTCCGGACCGTAGACCGTTAAGTATGGTCTGGTCTGGTCGATGGTCTGTACTATTTTATATTTTGATCTCTTGGTCTGGTCTGGTCTAAACCGCGGTTTACCGGACCAAACCGTGGACGCAACTGACTTGTAAATACGTGTTAACAGACCATTCGACCACTCTCCCAACTCCCAAAACAACACCCAAGTCTCAACCTTAGTTTTGTGAATCTCGTCCCTCCTTAATTCACAACCACATTTAACTAGAGAGTAGAGATAATCGTGTCTCCATATGACATTATGTTAATGTTTATGACGTTATGGTGCAAGTTGGGATGCTTTTACTTTGTATCTTTGGTATGTACTAAGATTTAGAGTATCCAAATTATTCATGCATGTTAGGATTAATGATTTAAGGCAAATAACAATTATTTTTCCTGGTTATTGGTTCAATTTTTTGTGTGGTTGACTAAACAAATTATTCATTTTTCGTTGAGTGTGGTCTATCTGGACCAGACCACACCAAACCAGACCGCACAGGCATGGTCTGGACCGAACCGTATAGTCTGTGGTCTGGTCCGTGGTCTATACTTTTGCCTCTCGGTCTGGACCATAGACCGTATAGATGGTTTGGTCTGGACAAGACCGCACCGTTTCCCAGCCCTAGTTACGAGGCAGGGAAATGGGAGATAGTTCATCAAATCATAATACCTGAGCAGGGGTTAAATCAAATGAGGGACGGGAATCACTCTCTCTTCTTTGAGCACAAACGCAAGAAAGGCCACGACCAAGCCATGCAGCAGACCCTGCTACAACCTCGGCTGCAATTAAGTAAACATTTCAAACCAATGAAATCAAATTTCAAATCAGAATCAGAAGCTCACATGTCAGGCACATATAGACTTGGAAAACTGGAAAAGCAAGAGAGTAAAACAAACAACATCTCGGCCTAGTGTTTACCAATTGGCTAATAACCATTATCCATCTCACTGCAAAAATCAATCTCACAGGAGCTGGCTTGCATTGAAGTGCATAAACGCATTTGACTCCTTGAGTCATGAATGATTAGCAAGGTATCTATTCTGTCTACTCAAGAAATAAGAAGCAATATCCTACAGAACAAAAAAACCGACTGCCATTCTCCAAGAGCTAAGAAATTTGACAACCCAAGTCATTGGAACAACATGGAGAAAAGTGGTTCTCTGTCAATACATAATGTTGAGCATCTTTCATTTTCTAAGATGTATATGAATCATTGCTTGAAAAGAAAACGAGTGGGGCTGTTGGAGTCAGCCAGTGAACAAGCAGCCGACAGGGGAGAAGTCGATTTCTCATCAATTTCTTCACTAGTTGATAAAGCTGGACTTCAAGGACAATTTGGCTTTAAGATTCAGAGTTTTGCTTACAAGTTAACTATATTATTTGCAACACCAGCATCACCAATCAAGGAAAACGAAAGATCAGGAACGGATGGGAATCCAAGGAGCTAGACTGAAAGACGAAAATGACCTAATAAAACTGAAAATGGCACCAGAGCGGAAGGGGAGAGAGAAAGAAGATGAACAGTGGAAAATCTGCCACTGAAGCAAAGTTAACGTACCAAAACAATTTTGCATATCAGCAAACATGAAGCTAGCAAAGAATTTGTTGTTATCTCAAACCTAATTCACACGCAGCTGCGTCTCCATCCACAGATCCAAAAATGAGAAAAGAGAGATCTGATTGCAGTGAGAAATCGGGAGCGAAGAAAAAGAGCCCTCCACTATAAAAATAAAGCTTCAACAAAGAGAGGGCAATTTAAAAGCGAGGTAGGGGAAGAAACCGTACCAGAACTTGAATGGCAGGCGCTGTTGCCACGCTCCAGACCTTGAGATATCCTTCTGACAGCGACGAACGACCCTCCTCTATCCTCCATTCTCCAGCTCCGAGCTCTGAATCTATCTCTCTTCCTAGCACCGCGGCACCATCCCAATCGACGGGGGACAGCCAGACACCTTCTCTGCAATCTGCAATCGAGTGAGCCAACTACTACTACAGAGACAAATCAAGCAGAATCAGAATCCGTGCTGACAGAAATCAACTCAGCCATTGAATCGCACGGGAAACAACAAGCAGTAATCACCTGAAGTAGCGCCGATGAAATCACCACGAAATCTCTTTGTTTCTTCAGCGATCGTGCAGGAGAACTGGCAAATGGATCAGAAGAGGGAACAAGGATAACGAAGTCGACTAGAAAAAGGGAGAAATGGCGGCGAGAGGAGAGCTGCTGCTTGTCAGCTCAAACCTGGAAACTGGAAAGGACTCCTCGATTACTAGGGCGGAAAATTGGAGAATGGCAGCGAGAAAAGGGTGGCGAATCTAGAGAGGAGAAAAATGTGGGAGGATATGAAGGATAAAAAAAAAGAACCCCTTTGTGGAAGGAAGGGAAAAGTGTGGGAAAAAGCAAAAAGTGGAGGATAGAGATCCAAAACAAGGAAGGGCGGGCGGAATTAGGCAAGAAAAGGAGTGGGTGAGTGAATGAGAGTGGTGCGGCTCTCGTTGTGCTCTGGAATTTGGAGAGGCGTTTCTGCCTGACTACTTCGGCACGGAGCGACGCTGCTTTTTGGGTGCGTCCGGTATGCGCCAGCGACTGCGAAAAATTGAATCTGCGATGTTTTAGGTTTGCCGAGACAGAGGTCAGAGTCCGAGTCAGACTATTGGAAAGAAAGATCGTTAATTTCGATACTAAATGGCAGTGTTATTAAAGTCGAACCGAGCCGCTCGGCCCGACCGGTAAAACCGCCACCCGGTCACAAAACCGGCTCGGAACAGTCTAAAAGCCGCTCCGGTTTGATGTAGCGGTTGGCGAGCGGCCGAGGCGGTTAACAGTTCGAGCCGATCGAGCCGCTCGTCCGGTTTTTGCCATTCAGCCACTAAATTTGATTAAAAAATTGTAGAAAATTGAAAATTGAAATAAACCAAAAACGTCGGGCTCTCAAATTGAATCCTTATTTCTATTTCACAATTTCGTAGGAAAGAGATGAGCTCTGATTAAGAAATGTCCACTATTTATACTAATAACGTTTATTAGATACTGGTTCTCCAACGGTTTTGAAACGGTCTAATGCCGGTTGGACCGCTAAAGTGCGAGCCGTTCGCATTACCGGGTCATGCTCCGGTTCGGTTCTGACAACATTGCTAAATGGCGTTTCAGTAGAATAATAATATATTAGTAACCTTAAAATAAGTATTTACTAGTGGCGTTTCAGTAGAATAATAATATATTAGTAACCTTAAAATATATATTTACTAGTGTAGTAGTGTGCTGTACGGGTTCCAAAAAATTCGTCAAAATCTCTACACAATTCTATTCCTTTGAGTGACTTTTACATTTTGTAAAAGTTGGTTTGGTTTAGGCGTAGCCGCCTAGGTGGGTCAATGTGGCTCAATTATTCATTTGAGATGATTTAATCAAATTGTTTCTTTTGGGCAGGGCTACTCACTTTTCATGGATGTAACTATCTTTTTTGAAATCGTTATAAGATTATCTTTTGTAAAAAAAAAAAATTACTCACTTGTCATGGATTACACCGCGGATTAAAAATTCCGACTAGAGGCCAAGTATAAACTCTAACTGGGTGTATTATAAGGCAAGTATGTTTTAATTTGTCAAATTGGATCGGTTCATGTACACCTAATTCAATCGCTTAAGTTGTAATCTAGCAAACGATTTTGGGTTTTAAAAAATAAGAAAACTACAAAATAAACAAACAAGTAAAGTAAATCGAGGTTGAGTGGTTGACACAATAAGAGAAGAATTCACCCGGGTATTGCTACCCCTAGCTATATATCAAGATTAGTCGAATAGAATGCAAATGTGTGGAAACGTGGCCGTAAACCGCAGGAGAGCGCAACTAGTGAAGGGGCTTCACTCTCCCGATCGATGGGGCAAGGAATGTCAAATGAAGCTAACGAATTAGCTCTCTTGGCCAATCGACTAAGGGTTGCCAAGGCTACTCCCTCAAACCTTAATCTAGATAGCCAAACAACAACCAACTCAAAGCGCTAAAACGAAGTTTGAGGTCTGCCCTAATTCGGCCTAAGTAGGTGGCTCAATTGGCCAAGGAATTTTAGCTTATACTATCCTCTTATCAAGAAGGGGATTTCCCTCTACCTAGGTCAAATTGGCACAATAGTGAGAAATGAAAAACACAACTCCACCTTCATGAAAATACATCAATACTTGCATTAAAACACAAACCAAACACAAGATATTCAATTCATACAATCTATCACATACAAAGAGCCAGGGTTCATAATACCCATGTGAAGAGGAACTCTACTCCATAGCTATGCAAAGGAAAACAACAAAGATGAAAGAAAGAACCATGGTGGATGTTTGTATTTCCTCGTTGTTGATGAGAATTCCCTTGAGAGGTGAAAATCTTCACTCCTCTAGCTTGAAGTGAGCCCTAATCTTCTTCTTCTCTCATTGTTGATCACTTTCTCTCTCTAGATTTTGAAGAAGAAGACATTTCTATCACTAGGGTTTCCCCCTTGGGGTTTCTTCAGTTGGACCCCTAGAAGGGAACCCAGAAAATGTAAAACCAACCCAAGATCCAACCTCTCTTCTCTCTCCCACAAACCTTGTATTTATACAGTCTGATAGTCACTTTCACGGTCTGCACATCACGGCCGTGACTTTGGAGCTCAAACCGTGACATTGGACAAAAACGCAGGTTAGTGGCGCCATTTTGGTCCGACATGACGGTCACCATGAAATTATCACGATCAAGCGACAATGATAATTTTTAAGCCCGCAAGGCGCGCGAAACTTCCTATTTTCCAGCTCACTTCACGTCCACTAGTCAATTGTCACGGTTTGGTTGACCATGACAATCACCTTAAAACTGTGGTAATCGGTTGTTCTTCACTTTTTTGCGCTTTTCGACTCCAATCGTCCCAAAACTCGTCATCGACCCTTCCACACGCACTAGGCCCCGAAATGTATCAAAAATAGCACAACCTAGCAGAAAATAGGTAGAGGGACTATGAAATGCAAAGTCAAACTATCAATAAATGAGGGGTAAAATGTGCATAATTAGCCCCGAATAAGCTCAAATAAGTTGAGTCGTTCACGTTCGACTCGAGAAAATTTCATTTGAAACTCTATTTGTTTATTAACGAATTGAGGTAGAGCTAAATCTTATTCAGCTTGCGAGGCTCACGAGCTACCTCAACTTAGTGACTTGTTGAGCTCAACTCGTCAACTGGCTCGTTTAGACCTCATGAGATGTCTCAACATTGGATCCAACTCGGCTACCGACTTAAGAGCGAATCAATTCATATCTTATGAGTTGGGTTTTGATAATTCATAGGATTTTTCAATTATATATCTCACTATATATGAAGTTTATATTATGTAAGCAAATATGTCTTATTTTTTACTTTAAAAAATTGTGTATCATCGATTGTTTCAATACTATGAAAGAACATTATTTGAACTAGTTAAAACTATGTATCTACAGTACACGACGACTCACAAATCCTCATGGCGCGGGCGCGGGTGTGACAATCATAAGGAATTCGTGACATTTACAATAATAAAATGTGCAACTTGTAGTTACGAGTAGGAAGTAAGTAACTCGATGCGCTGACCGAAAAACCCACAACCGAAACCGCCCGCAACCCGCCTCACCTGCAACCCGATTGTTCCGTATCCCAATTGACCCATAACTCGACTAACCCGCAACCCGACCGACCCATAAACAGATTGAACCCAAATCCAACGAACCAACAATCCGACTAACCCATAACTCAATCGAACCCAACCCGAACCCGTCCGATTGATACCTATACCTTCATAAGGTATCCAATGGGTCAATAACAATTAACCAGCATGCCGCGAACCATCAAAATTTTTGCCGAGTTTTAAAATGCAGACATTTTTAGTTTTGTTTTATTTTCACCGAACCTCCTCCGTTGTTATTTAGCGGCCCATCAATGTTCGGGGCTTCGGGCCTCTTCTTACCAAATAACTTCCGGGCCACGGAATGGGATTAGTTGCTAACCTCTTAAGAGGTTAGCACCATACTAAACATCTTTGTAGCCACTAGATTAAAATCACGATCAAAGGGTTATAATTAGTTTGAGGTTATCTTTGTCAATTACATAATTAATTCTCTTAACCCTGATTATAAAAATCACTCAGCCGTTGTACTCACTCCCCAACCTCTTTCTCACGAATTCCTCTACCACGAAAACTGCTCCTGCTATTTCCAAAGATTTAGATCTAAAATGGAAGCTGGGTTGCTAATGCTCTTTGCCGGTGAGGAACAAGAGAGCAAAACATAGGGAGAAGCGGTTGTTGGGTTCGCGGCTGAGGGTGTCTCATCGTTCCCTCGTCGACAACATTTGTGACGGCGGCTGGTAGAGAGAGCCGACGAACCGGCGACAATCTCTAGCAGAGAAATCTTTTTGCCGTAGAAGATCGCATCGGCTAGGAGTAGGTGACAGGCGCTTCGCTACTCGCACGTGGAACTCCTTGTGCTCCCTCTCTCCTTTGCGGTTTCTCGTTGCAACGCCATCTCTGCTCTGCTCTGAAGTTGTTGGAGGTCGGGTTTTCGTACTGGAGCGGCAGATCTGCGACAGTCATTGATCCCTTAATGGATTGCGGCGGGGACAGATCTGACTAGTGATTCTTGGGATATTATTAGTGATTTGTGTTTATTTCTGATCTCTAATGATGGCGAGCACTAATCTTAACGATGGAAAAATTGGGTACTGTTTGCTTCTGGGATACTAACGTTAGTAGTGTTTTTCTAGTAGCAATTGTGTAGTATTGATACTTATGTTAGTATGTTAGTAGTGTTCTTCAGTAGCAATTGTGCAGCACTGCTACTGATTCATTTTAATAATGAATATGTCATCCTTCCTTTCTAAAAGTTAGCAATTACTACTATAGAGTACATAATCACTACTGATAGTTTTTTAAACACTAAAAAAAATACAAAATCACTACTGGAACACACAAAGATCACTACGAATATAAGTTGTAGTAATTTTTCGGTAGTACATTTTTTACGTTGGAAATCTATAATTAAAAATAAGAGAAATATATTTCAAAATTTAATTAATTTATTAAATTTTAATTTGTCAAAATACCAAATATGCCCCTCATTGCTACTCACCGTCAGATCTAGACATAAATATTGAATGATGATTAGAGTGATTAGCACGATGCTAACCCCTATGAAATTAGCACTCTAACTCCTCCCGCGGGCCACTTATCTCGTGCTATACTATGTCTTCTGCTAGGCTTCTTCTTCTTCCCTCTTCTCTCACCATCCCAGTTGAAGATGCAATTGCCATGTCTCCATCTCTGCAACTGCAAGACCTTGTCGCCGAGCCCTCTATTAGGGTTCCGACACAGCCTCAGATTGGACCACGCCTCGCCCAATCTCCATTTTCGCCGGATTTCCCGCTACGAACCGAGCCATAGGAGGGCGAATTGCCATAGCAAACGTCATGAGCGCCATAGCACGAATTCCCGGGACCGAGCACCGAAACCGAAGGGAAAGAAGGAAAATATTTGGAGCCTCGACAATGATATGGCGAAATCAACGGCTGGGAGAGAGAACGAAAGATCGAAGCACGGGAGGAAGAAGAAAGGAGGGCGTGCGGTTCAGGGGGAACGGTCCAGAGGGGGAAGTATCATGGTCTCTGGTGCCTTGCTTATGGAGGTTGAGACTGTCCTCCAGACTCAGGTACTTCGCGTATTGGTCGTTTGAACTACCTGTATCAAATTCGAAAGATGCTTGCCTGATAAGCTCATTGATTAACCAGTGCATTTGTGTGTTCTGGAACGCTTTGATTGCGTGTCTAGCATAGTGACTACACACTTGTTTTTCTACAATGAGAAACATCAGTGAAGATGAAAAGAATGGTGGTTTGCTTTCAGGAACCTGTGATTAGGCCTCTCTGGAATACTTTTGAAAGTAGCGTGAGTGGGATATGGAAAGGGGTTGGGGCAGTTTTCTCCCCCATCACAGCTGAAATGGAGCCCATTGAAATTGGGAAGAAGGGGAAAGAGGTTTATGACTGCTACACTCTTTCGCGCATTGAAGCTGTGCCATCTCCATCTAAAGGGCAGCCGTCTCAAATACATAGAAAGATAAATTGGGCGACTTTCAATCCACAAGGTGAAGTTTTGCAGAGTGGTGGAGGTATTAATAAAGTAAAATTTGAGCATCAAGATGGGCACGCTTCTTTATCATCCAACGGAGCCATTGATGCTGGTGTAGGAAATCAGATGTTGCCTAATTATGAGTCTTTTGACTTGAAATCGAGTGATGTGATGGAAGAAGATGTGATGGGCAATGAACCTGGTCTGGTTTTCTTTGAGGTAATGATTAATCGGCCAGCAATTTCCTTTACTAGTTTAAAATCGTTATGGAGCAAGAGGTGCTTGACAGCTTTATACTAAGGTGAATTATTGATGGAGAGTATTAAAGTCTTTGTGCTCTTGCACTCATCGTTGGTTTCGTTCTTGCATGCCTTCCAAGTCTTTTTTCCTTTGAAGCTATTGAATAGCATGACCCATCAATCTGTATATTGCAACTGAAGCGATTGATTGATTCATCAGGATGGATCATATTCAAGAGGCCCCGTCATGATTCCAGTTGGTGAAGTTGATGATTCCAACTACTTCATGTCTCCAACTTTTAAATTTGAACAGGTGAGGTTCTCTATTTGGCAACAATATGCGTCCTTCAAAATTCAGTTTAGCATGAAATTTGTTGCAAGTTTCTTGACTTTTTTTTCTTTCTAGTGTTTGGTCAAAGGTTGCCACAAGAGACTGCGTATTGTGCATACTATTGAGTTTAGTCAAGGAGGTGCAGATGTGCAGATACTAAGAGTTGCCGCATATGAAGAACAGTGGGCCAGTCCTGCTAATTTTGACGACCTAAGGTATTCCGTGCTTCAACTTGACGGGTGAAGAATTTGAACTTTGTTGATGGGTGAATAATTTTCAAAATAGTATGCTTAAAAAGAGTCAGAATGGTCCTACAGCTAGCTTCATACTATGAGTCAAGCCGAGTAGGATAGGAGAGAAATACTAGGTCAAGCCGAGTGGAACCATAACACATCAATTGACTTGGCCATCTGGCTAAATACATTACAATTTCATAAGTTCTGGTTGTTACCTTGGACGATGGAAGTAACCATTGTGTTCCAATGAATTTAGATGAACCAAGGTCTAATTTTAGGGAACTCAACCCATTGTCTTGAAGTTGACATGGTGTGCGTATATGTTGGCAGTGACGCAGAATTTGATTTGAAGCCATTTTCACAGCGGAGAAGGTTGCGGCCATCAGAGCTCATTGGATCCTGGAAAGTGTTTGAGATGAGTGCTACTCCAATTTTTGGTCAGGAGATTATATCGGACATCAACGACAATGGTTCTTCTCCGTATGTCTACCTTTGCACTGAGACCTTGAAGAAGCGGAGCCTGCCAGGAAATTCTGTCCATTTTGGTGAAGAAGAGATGTTAGATACGCAAGATGTGACGGTTCTTTGGCTCCCAGGTGGTGTGACAGCTTATGTCGATGTCAACAAGGAAGGCATCCTTTGCATTGGTGTTGGCTGGTATTCAGATGAAGGCATAAACCTTGTGATGGAAAGGGATTATGATCTGGATGGAAACTTGAAAGAGGTTCGCTCCAAAACTGAACTCAAACGACGATGGTCTGATTAATGCCGAGTTGGCTGGTATACGGATGAAGGCATAAACCTTGCGATGGAAAGGGATTATGATCTAGATGGAAACTTGAAAGAGGTTCACTCCAAAACTGAACTCAAACGACGATGGTCTGATTAATGCTGAGTTGTGACGCTACGTAGTAGGAACCCTCAACTGAGTGAAACAGGTTGTTGGCATAACAAGAGATTGTTTTTTGTGTTTCGCCGTTTGTTTACATTCCAAAAATGTGACCAACAGAGAGAAATCGCATAAAATAATATTTGGATTGGATCGTCATATGTAGCATAGTTCTATTCCAAAATTCTCTTGAAGTCCACTCGACGCACAATAGTACATACCCACACATGCTTTCACAATCGTCAACAGTCTAAAAGCTCAATTAACCAACACTACTACTTTCGAAGAGATCGGACAAATGAGAATTAAGTGCACCAAAAACTTGGTTACAGAATCCCAACCAATGCCATGCTCAATGTGAATTAGATGGGTTTGATCTTGAAGTGGAGCGAAATGAGGGAGAAAACAAAGCACTTCAGATCCTGCAAAGCATGAAATCGTCATGATTACCATCATAAAAGTATAGCAGGATGAAGATCTCAAGATCAACACCAAGATGGAAGAATAGATTGCTTTTATCCTAAGGTGTCAAATATTCAACAAAGATCAACACCAAGATGGAAGAATAGATTGCTTTTATCCTAAGGTGTCAAATATTCAACAATGTAAACCATATCACGAGAAACCAAATGCTGGCAGTATACAATACAATCTATATGCTAATATGCACCATAGACTCGTTGAATCACTCACTCATCATAAAATTTGGAAGCAACAAGCCGCGAAAGAAAAAAGTGATATCAAATCAACTGACCTGAACAAGATAGTAGAAGATGCGAAGCCCTTCAGGGTCCTTACTGCTCTGTACATCAACAAGTGAACCGATTTTGGAGGTAGTGAAGGAAATGTGCTCATTCCCCATCACAATCTCAAGCTCTTGTCGTCCAACCCTATCAGGTTCCGGCCAGTTGTTATCATCTTCCTTCATGATCTACCAAAACCCAATAATAACTTTTAAGAAGCTAACAATGCCATGAAAAGAATGGGACCGCTTCACTAAATTGAAAACATTAGAGCTATGATAACAACATCTCTGACTGGAGGAAACACGGCGGAAACCCTAAATACATTGAGGAGTGAGATAAGACAAGGTTCCGGGCAGTTGTTACCAAAACCCAAATCATCATGAATTTTAAGAGGTCAACAAGATAAGGGATTGTTCCAGCAAATTGAAAACTCCAGAGTTATTATAATAGAATCTACGACTCACTCGAGGAACCGCGGTTGAAACCCTAAATACATCGAGAAGTGAGATAAGGGACAGAGAGAGGGGAACAGAGAAATGCAAGCCAGCAAACCTCGCTCTCAGATATGATGCGGCGGCACTCCTTGAGAACCGCGGGGGAGAGGAAGACCTCCTTGCGAATCATGGTGTCGTTCTTGTAGTTGGAGTTATTGGCGTATCGGAGCTTGCCGTCCGGCCGGAACTCGAACTCCAAGAACTCGTGCCCAAACTTTCCCTTGTGGCCGACGTAATACCGAAGGTAAAACTCTCTGTCATCCTCCGATGCCATAATTTTCCCTCCCGAGCTCTGCCTTCAACTTCGATTCCCTTTCGAGTTCAAATCACAGCTGGGGAGAAAAGTTATTTATTAGTTCTTTCGTTCTTCAAGGTAACAGCAACAGCAGCTATTCGGTATGGATCTAGGTTGCGGCTTGATTATCTGGGCTTTAATTGTTATTCCGGTTGTAGGCCCACTAAATACAAACTCTCACCTTTAGGGGTGGGCAAAGTGAAACGGATATTTGGGTATACCCAAATCCGTCCCGTTTAAAGAGGGTTACGGATACCCAAAACTCGTTATATTTGTTGCGGGATGGAATTTGAGATCAATAATCTCAACTTTGAATGCCTGCGGGTTACCCGCTAATAATCGTTCGGATAGTTTGGGTACCCGTATTACCCAATTAAATTATTAAATGTCATAAGCCCAAATATGAAACCCAACCAAGCCCAGTCGTCCAGCCCATTACCAGTCCCTCTCCCTCACTCGGCTGGGCCCTCGGCGTCCCTCACAGGCCGAGCGCTCCTCTCGGCCAGCCCATTACCGTTTGGGTAGTTTGCTGCTCCTGCTGACCTGCTGCTGAGTGAGCTCCATCGGACTCGGAAAGAAGTCGGCAGTCGACTCGTGAGAAGATCTAGAGCAAGAATGATGCTCTCCGCCTCTCCCCCAAGCTAGGCGGCAGCGACTCCTCTCTGCCGTCGATCCCGACGTCGCCGACCGCTTCTCTCCTCAGTCCTCTAACAACAATATATAATCCACTAATCAGACCCATTATTGTACTTATGTGAATTGCCAAATTGGTGGCGGACCATTATTGTTATTATGTGAGAAGGGTGGCAGACCATTATATATATGCAGCTTGTAAATGTTCCCATTATTAAAAGGGTATAAACAAGTAGTTTGGGTACTCGTTATCCGCCTCATAAGAGTTTATGGGTACCCGTTACCCGTTCGGATTTGGGATATGGGATGAGTTTTGGTCTCTAAATGGGATTGGGTACCCGTTTCAAACGGGATGGGTACCCAATCCCGTCCCGTTTCCCACCCCTACTTTATGTAGCAATTGAGTATGAATTTTGAAGTCCATCTTTTATGACTAACTTTTCTCTTTTGCTTTTTTTTACCGAAACTTTCCTCTTTTACTTCATTTTTCTTCTCATACCTAACAATAAACGTCAGTTTTATTTGGGTAAATATAATATAATAGGCTAATCTTTCACTTTAAACAAAATAATAACCAAATCTTTTCAAACACAATTTAATATCCAAATCGTCAACTTTCCGTCCGTTCAACTGTTAGTTGACTCTGACGTGACAAAGTATTATATGAGATGGATGGCTATTTATGACGTGGGAAAAATTTAAATATTTGAGTTGCTACATGGATAAAACATACATTTATATATTAAATAAAAAAGCTAAACACCATTTTCCGTCGAGTCCCACCGTTGACAATTCCCCCAAATCTCTGATTTCATATCTGGACATGAACAACCTCGTCGCATCAAGGTCCTCGGGCAGGCACTATGGGGATGGTTCTTCTGATCCATGAACGAACCTCCACAAGCCCTATGCCCTCAAGGTCGTCGAGGATTCCCAATTCCACTGCCAGTTCGAGGCCGGTCAACTTTCCGTCCGTTCAATTGTTAGTTGACTCTAACGTGGCAAAGTATTATGTGAGATGGATGACTTCTTATGACGTGGCAAAAAAATAAGTATTTGAAGGTTCCACATAGATAAAACATAATTTTATATATTAAATAAAAAAGGCTAAGCACCATTTTTCCGTCGAGTTCCACCGTTGAGAATTCTTCCAAATATTTGATTTCAGATCTGGACATGGGCAACCTTGTCGCCATCAAGGTCCTCGGCAGGGCGTTATGGGGATGGTGGTTCAGATCCACGACCAAACCTCCACGAGCCCCTACACCCTCAAGGTTGTCGGGGATTCCTGACTCGCTCTGACTATCACAATAAAATTCCACCTAAGGTCCAAGTATAAACCTTAGGTGGGTGCAATATAGTGCAAATCTGTTTAAATATCGACTTGGGCCGGTCCATGAACCGCTACTTCGACTGTTTGAAACATTATCTAGCGGATTGGTGAAAAGAAAGGTCTAAAACTAAATTGTTTGCAAAGGTAAAATGGATTTAACACTAGTTGGGAAAGCTTCACCCGGGTGTTGCTCCCCCTAGCTAACAATTACGATTTGAAGAATCGAACGACCGTGTGTGGTTAGGGGGTCATAAACCGCAGGGAATGAGATACGATCCAAGCCACTAATGTGACCCTCTCAACTTATCGACTAAGGAATGGTTAGACTTCACCCTCGAATTGGAGTTCGGACGGCCACCCACAACCAAACCCTAAGTGCTAATGCAAAATAGGAGGTTTTCCCTTTAACTAACCAAGAATAGGAGGCATAAAATTACCAAGGAAACCCATCTCTAATAGAGCCTTTTAGGTTAAGGAGGGTTCTCTATAAACTAGCTTAGGAGGCATTGAATACCCAAGGAAACCCATTTTTAATAGAGCCTCTTAGGTTAAGGAGGGTTCTCTCTAAACTAGTTTAGGAGCCATTGAATGGCCAAGGAAACCCAGCTAAAATTGAGCCTCTTTGGATAAAGGAGGTTTCCTCTCTAAACTAGCCTAGGAGGCATGAAATGCCCAAGAACACCCATCTCAATATGGAGCCTCTTAACCTAAGGAGGTATACTGTCTAAGCTAGGTTAGAATGACAATTAGATTGAGATCGCTCCTTTCATTTCACGGCCATTTAAGTTGAGATCGCTCCTAGTTCACGGCCTGAGTTCACGGCTGTGAACATTGAAATGCGTCTGTGAACTCAGTGCCGAGACCAAAATGCACCGCTTCATTGGCTCGGGTTCAGGGTAAGTGGCCTATGTTCCCGGTCTTAGCAACTGTGAATAGCCTGGGCGTCAGTAACCTGAAAACCCTCTCTGGACGCTCCTTGGTTCATGGGTTTTGGCTCCAGTTCACGATCTTGTAAGTCTTGGAGCATCATTGGAGTCTTGGGTGGAGGATTCAAGCCTAGAAGAAGAAGAAGATCTTGAGCTCAAATTTGTAACCCCTCTCTTCTCTCTCTAGAACTCTGTCTTTTCTCTTGGGTGTTGTAGATCCCTAACTAATACTTTGTAATTACTTGTTTAGATTGAATGATTTTGTATGGGTTTGCATCAAATGTATTAGAGGCGTTTTCATGTTGATTGTGCTTAGTTGTGCTTTCCAAATCTTGTGTGCTTGCCTAACCTAGATTAGAGGAAAACCACACCTTTTTAGGTAGGCTTGACAAGCTTGGTTTTCCTGGTCATTTTGCGCCTACTATCTAGGTTAGAGATGAGCATCCCCCTTGACTCAAGTTTGCATCTAGGTTGGTTGTGATTAAGCCTTTCAAACTCATGTTTGAGGGAGAGACCTAGGCAGCCCCTAGTGACTGAGTGAGAGGATCGATTTCGTATTCATCCCGTGTCAAATGGATCACTAGTTGCTCCTCCTAGAGGTTACCCTAGACTTGGTGAGTGGATCGATCCCGTGACAAATTGATCGCTAGTGATTTGATTCCGTGACAAATCGATCACTAGTTGTTCACCCTCGCGGTTCACAACCACCAATGCCACACGACTCCATTCAATCCAATTAGTCATGCTATCTAGTTAGGGGGAAGCAACTCCTGGGTGAAGATCCCTTAGTTAGAGTTTTCCTTTATTTACTTTTCTTTGCTTGTTTAGTTTGTAGTTTTTTTAGTTTGAAAACACAAAACTGTTTTGCTAGATAACAACTTAAGCGATTGAAGTAGGGGTACATGGACCGGCTCGGGTTGACAATTTAAATACTTGATCTATACTGCACACGGCTAGAGTTTAAAAACTTGGGCTCAAGTCGGGATTAATTCACGGTGTAGTTTCGTGCGAGTCAAGTTTTTGGTGCCGCTGCCGGGGAACCTTGCGGTCAATTATCTTGAAAAGGTCGTTTTGTGTTACTCTAGCTTTTATTTTTGTCTTGTCTTGTGTTTTGTTTTTGTGTTTTTATCTTTGTGTGATGCAGAGTTGAGCCATGGATCCCGATAGCTTCTCCTACCCGTGGGGGTATCCACCAACACCCGAATGGTGTTACCCCGAGCAGACATGAGGCTATCAAGAAGGAGATGAGTACGGATCTGGGGTCGACTATCAACTACCTTTCCATGATGAGCAACCATATCCACTGGATGTTCAAGAGTTCTATCCATACCATGAAGGTTACCCTCCACAACAACAAGGGAAGAGCCAATTGGAGCTATTGGTGGAGAAGTTAGTATCGGACAATGAGAGATCATATTCTGGACCGGCCTTTCCAACTAGGGATCCACCTCACTCGGATTTCCTCTATGAAGCGGAGGAAACACGCAAGTGCGTGGAGAAGCTAAACCCGATGGTCGAGGAAGCTTGTGCACGGTTCACCCACGACCGATTCTTGGCGATTGGTTAAGAAAAGGAAGATGAAGAGGAAAGCCTCGAGGATGAGTTGGAACGGTCGGAAGTTCGCACGGATGGCCACCGTGATGCTCAAGACTTGGAATGTCCTCTTGAGATAGCCACCACTCTTCCACATTTCATCCCAAGCGTTGAAGAGGAATTGATGAGTGTCGTGTCAATCAAAGACATAGCTTGGAGACTCGCTATTCACCGCTTGCTTGCGGAAGAGCGAGGAAAGATGAGGAAAGAAGAAGTTGTGGAGGAGTTAGTAGAAAAAGAAGAGGAATTTCTTGAGGATCCCCGAGAGGAGGAAATCAAAGAAAAAGGAAGGGAGTTTGAGGAAGAAGAAGAAGGAGCAAGTGGTGTCCAAGACGAGGACGAGGTCATTGTGGATGAAGCATCCACAATTTACAAGAGCTATCAAAGATTTCCACCCGACCTCGATGCACTTTTGGAGAAGGACACATTTGCGGCTCTTTGCCAACCCAAGGCCAAACCATCGATGATCCCTCTTGGTGGAAGCGATGGAAGTC